CAGAAATCTACTTTTAAGAAATCTTGGGCTTTAATGCAACAGCCAAACCATTTTTGCGGAAAAAGAGTAAGGGAAAACAGAAACAGCAGGAAGGTATTATTTTCTCCAAGATATCCTTAAATAACCTAAAAGGTAGCTAAGAACTATTTGTATTTTTTAAGATATCAGGATTAACTAATTAATTCCAGCCACAATCTATTACGAAAGTGGCTTCTCTGGTGACTTAGATGGCAAAGAATCCGCCTGCTAGGCGGGAGACCTGGGTTCGACCCCTGGGTTGGGAAGATCCGCTGGAGGAGGGCATGGCAACCCACTCCAGTGTTCTTGCCTGGAGAATCCCCATGGGCAGAGAAGCCTGGTGGGCTACAGTTGATGACGGGGTCGCAAAGAGTTGGACACGACCGAAGTGACGAAGCACAAGCAATTTAAGTCATTTTCTTCTAGAACAGCTTTCATTCGAGTTAAGAAATAGAAAGTAACTAAAGGAACTGAGGATAAAATGCTTTATATATAATATTCCATGTTCATACTTTAGAGAAGATAACATTCAGTGTTATTTAACCAGTGGTCCACTGGCTGAGTAGATGGGTATGAAATAAAAGAAGTATTTGGTAGTAATGCCCAAAGTTCAAAGGGATCCTTGAATCACACTTACAAGCCTACTAGTGACCCAGTTCCTATTATGCCTCAATGCGATTAACGGTATTGCTTTGGATTTTCGGACTTCTTATGATTTCAGCCTTTTCTGAAGGCAGAGTTCCCATCAGTTGTCTAAGAGAAGCAGCAGATTCCAAAAGAGCAGTACAGTTCAGCTGAGTAGTTAAGAAAATGGGGTGTAGAGCTGGATGAGAACAGCTCTTCTGTTCACCGAGAATGCATGCTGTATCCTTCATCGCTCAGTCGTGTCCGATTCTCTGTGACCCCATGGACTGCAGCCCACCAGGCTCCTCTGTCCACGGGGATTCTCCAGGCAAGGATACTGGAGTAGGTTGCCATGCCCTCCTCCAGGGGATCTTCCCAACCCAGGGATTGAATAAGGTCTCTCGCATTGAGGGCAGATTCTTTACCGTCTGAACCACCAGAGCCGGGGCAGACAGCTTAATTTCTTCATCTACAGTTTCTGATCTGTAAAATGGGATGACAGCAATACTATTCTTAGGGTTGTTGTGAGAATTAAGTGATTTACCACGAGTAACTTAAAACACTGCCTGCCCTGTAGAAATACTGCGTCGTTTCCCAGGAATTTTTTTTTAAGTGAAGTATAGTTGATTTACAATATTGTGTTAGAAAGTATTGCTTGTTATCATTATTGTTGACTTTGCAAATGTTATCTTTTTCCATTAATAGAGTTTTTAATTTCTAAGAAAAAACAAAACTGTATGCTTACAGAATTAAGTATAAGCCATTCTTCATGCATCCAAAGACTACTTTTACTCCAAAAATACCCTACGACACACCTTGAATATAAGGTCCCACCTTTAACATAAGGTTTTTGAATCAGGAAAAAATTATTCTGATTTTATTCACTGTTTTCCCATTTTCAACCTCCCTCTCCATCTCTTAAAATGTTCATATTACCTGTTCATTTCATACCAAACCCTTCCCTGGTGGCTCAGTAATTAAAGAATCTGTCTGCAATACAGGAGACCTGGGTTTGATCCCTGAGGAGAAAGAAATGGCAACCCACGTCTGCATTCTTGCTTGGAGAAGTTCATGGACAGAGGAGTCACGGGGTTATTCGAGTCGGACACGACTTAGCAACTAAACCAACCAAAACCTTCACCTGCCTCATCTGGAATACCTGGAGGCTCAGTAAGAGCGTGTTATTTAAGCGAGTTTTTTCAGGGGATTTAATCAAACTACAACTACATCTCTTTCTTCTACCAGGGTCTCTCTAACAAGCAAGCTTGTTCTCTGCTCTTTTTCTAATCCTGACTTGAACATCTGGGTGGCCACAGACATTTCTTGTCACTTCAGGGCCTTTGGATACAAACTAGAGAACCCTTATATAGACCAGCATTATTCAGACACTAAGAAATTACAAACATGAAACACGGCAGTAGGACAAAACTGTCATTTTTTACATTCTGAAACACATGTAAACTAATATCTGACAGGCATACTGGTGTAAACTAGAAGTGATTTAGAGTCTGTTGTGTCTCTGGGTGAAAAAAACAAAAACAAAAAACTGTTGCTTTATGTACTTTAAGAAAAAAGTACCAAACTGTACTAAATAATATATTTGTATATATAATCTGCCAACTTTTTTTTTTTTTTTTGCTGCATGATGCAGCTTGTGGGAAGCTTAGTTCCCAGACCAGGGATTGAACCTGGGACCCTCGGCAGTGAACATGCAGAGTCCTAACCACTGGACTGCCAGGAAATTCCCAATATGCCCACATTTTAATGAGATATTTCAGTAGGCTTATAGAAAAAGCCATATGTATGATGTTTGAATAGAAATTTAACTGCGGTAAATTTTTGCATGATTTGAAAAATGGTTTTATCACTCTAAATATGTACAATAATTTAATAAGAGAGTCACGGAATTAATCCATCCACAGCTGGGAAGTTTGCTCCTAAAAGGGGATGAGTTCTTGAGAAGAAGTGACTGCTTACATGCTCTTTCTTTCCTCCTCTTACCTTTCTGCCTCCTTCACCCTCTCTTTCCTTTTCTTTCACTATTTCATCCCAACACAGTTCTTCACTGACCTGTAATTGATAATCCTTTTGCTTCACTGAGCTGACTCAGACCCAAAAAGCTGCTAAACCACTCATTCTATCAATAAGACTCCAGTGCTTGGAAAACAAATCAGAGTTGGACAGTCTACAGGAGGTAAGGAGACAAAGCCCTGTACCTCAAGGGTGAAAACTAGCAGAACCGACCTCCACTGATGAATCTATCCTGATGCAAAAAGGTGTGTGCTTGGGGGTGGGGGTGGTAATTAAATGCCAAATGACCTGTGTTTGATCCGCTGCTTTACTTCCTTTTCTAAACCTCAACGACTTCAGCGTTCCCTAGCAACAGAAGCAAAGGATCAATTTAGAAAAGTGCTTTCCAGAGCATTCCTATCTAGCTACTGACCAAGCCATTTTAGTTTATGTGATCAAGCAATTGAAATTCAAGGAGATTTATCACTGACTGTCCTCGGCAGCAAAACTGGAAGAGGACTGTTTGATATGTATGCTACTAATGTCAGAGATGACTGATTCCACCTCTACCGCACAAGCATGAATTGGTTTCAGGAAGAATTAGTAGTCTCTGCATTTCACCGTGAACCGACAGTGTTGCTAGGGAAACTGATAATTATGTGGCAAAATGGAGGGTGCAGAATAGAAGAAAAAGGGTTCTGAAGAAATGTAAGCTTTTGATCCAAATCAACATATTAACAATAAAGTATGTTGATCTTCTGTAGTCATATAATTTAATAAATACTGTTAATTATATGTCTGACAAGATACTGATTTCTGAACTAAAAGAAATGAATCAGACTTTGCAAAGTCACTGGTTACTGATAATATTTTGTGTATGGCACAGCAGGAATATATATTTATTATAAAAACTACAGTGAATCTGAAGAATTAAAATATTCAAAAAAGTGGGAAAAAACACACTGATTTGATTTCCATTTTTTTAAGAAAATCATCTTACAGAGTTCCACATATAAAAATTGTAACTCTATAAGGCTCTAATAAAATTTCTTTTTTTCATCTCAAACACTGTTTAGGGGGGAGAAGAAAGAAGTACTGCTATTTTTATATTATGCATAGTAAAAAACCAGCCTAGAGAAGTTGAATGATCTTCCTGAAGTCATACACTTCTTCAGTTAGTGGTAATGTTGGTGCGAAATACTTTTCTTTAACCACTGGCAGCCATTATTTATAGATTATGTCATAGTAAGGGAAAACACAGCAAAAGGATATAAACTTAGTGAAGAGACTCAAATCTCTAAATATTACTTCAATTATAAATGAAAATTTCCAATACTTTGCATTTTTAACAGCTAAGAGTTTAGTTCTGAAAGTTAATGATATGATATAAACACTTGCTTATCAAGAAAATCTCACTGGAGACATTTTAATATGTGTGAAAGAGCATCAGGGAATTACACAGCTCATTAGTGATTTCAGTTTTACTGCATGTCAAACCTCTGCTTGTGAGTTGTCAGTCCCTTCATGATAATGCTACTGCATGACATTCTTTTATTTTCACTTTTTCTAACGTCCACTAGGTAGAAATTTTAAGAGATGAAATTGAAAGTTTTATGTCTTCCTATGTATTTATCTTCATAAATTCTTAACACATTTTTAAAATTTATAAATATACTACACATATTAAAGCATTCACATTCTTATACACACAATCCATGTACAGATGCATTGGGGGAAGAAAATAAATGATTTATTTATGGTTGGTATATGAACGAAAACCATTTCCTTTATTAACATTTCCATTATCAATAGAAAATATTTCCAGAGTTTTGGTCTGATTTGGTCTTTGACAGGAAAGAATGAGACAATGAGACATATACACAACTCCTCAAGGTAAAAGCAGAAAACTATACAGAACTTCTTAAATCAATGAATTCTAAATGATGGAAGTGGGTAGTCAGCTTTCTGATGTTATGAAAAAGATCTTCATTCTAGGAACTTAAAAAATCACTCATTTTCAGCCTTCCTCATTAAGCCCTAAGTAGTGTAACTCACCCTAGATGGGATAAACCATCAGCTTGAGGCAGTTCATTAAGCCTACCAAGTTTATGTGGTTTAAAATTAGTATCTGGCTTTTCAAACTTGAAATTTTGTTGTTTCTTTACTTCAAAGATTTATTTTTGATAAAACAAGAGCAAAATGATAGGTTACTATTTTGATAAGCCCTTTCCTCTTTCCCAAAGCAGGAAAGCTTTTTCACTTTTTAAATCTCTGAGTAAAACAAAGAAGAATGTAAGGCCAAATTTTATAGTCATTAAAAACAGTTTTTATGGTTAGGTTGAACAAACCTTGACTTAGGCCATCTTGACAAGATGTCTGCTTGATATCCAAGTTCTCCAAGGTATCTCCTTTAGAGACCTCACCAAGAGATGTCCTTCTCTCAAAGATATTGTTGTTGTTGTTAACTTGAGTCCCATTTTGCTTCAGTAGCCTGAACACCTCAGCTTCCAAATCTCTAATCTAACAGAGAAAAAAAAATACACTCATGAAACCATAAAGCAGCACTCTTCTCCAAGCCTAGGCAAAACTACCCTATTATTCTTTTTTTTAAATTTTATTAAAATATACTTGATTTACAATATTGTGTTAAATTTTGCTGTAGAGAAAAGTGACTCAGTTTTACATACATATATATATGTATATATACATGCAGACATGTGTGTGTGTGTGTATATATATATATATATATATATATATATATATTCTTATCCACTAAGATTTATCATGGGGTTTCCTGGTGGCTCAGTTGGCAAAGAATCCACCTGCAATGCAGGAGACTCAGGTTTGATCCCTGGGTCAGGAAAACCCCATGGAGAAGGAAATGGGAACCCACTCCAGTATTCTTGCCTGGAAAATCCCATGGAGAGAGGAATCTGGTGGGCTAGATTCCACATATAAGTGATATCATATGGTTTTTGCCTTTGTCTTTCTGACTTATTTTGCTTAGTATGAGAATCTCTAGGTCCATCCATGTTGCTGTGAATGGCATTATTTCATTCTTTTTAATGGTCGGGTACTATTCCATTGTATAAATCACCATATCTTCTTTATCCATTCATCTGTCAACAGACATTAGGTTGTCTCCACGTCTTAGCTGTCTGTAGTGAATAGTTCTGACATGAACACAGGGGTGGCATGTATCTTTTCGAGTTAAGTTTTGTCTGACTATTCTATCATCCAGTGGCTTTGTGCACATGACTCACCCGTACTTGCAAGCCTTGAACTTCCACGAGATGAGCTTTTTCCAAATCTTCTATTTTCTTTCTTTCTGCTTCCTGTCTTTTGATGAAATCAAGTTCTCTTAAGGAGAAAATAATAGATCTCAGTGCATCAAATACTCAATAAATGAGGAAATATAAAAATTCTTATCTGAAGCAATGAGCCACATAGTGAAATAAGTAAGTAGACAGCTATTTAAATAAATAAAACTCAGTCACAGAGAAAAGGTATCTAGTAATGAAAGCAAATAAAATGTTTTAAAGATATACAAAGTAAATAAAAATGCTTTGATTCTGCTTACTGAGATTTTCATTTGTAGCTCCTGATTCTGGAGCACCTGTTCATATTTAGATAGAAGCTACTGAACTAATGACCCACCTTGGTAATTTAGTGGAGATAATTACATGTTCAGTAGAAATAATTCCACATTTATAAAGTCATTTACCTAGTAAACTGATGGAATGGATGCTAAGAGTTTTTAAAATATAATTATTATAAGACTGCTTCCTAGAAATGACCATAGAGGGGGCTGAATGGGTCAGAAACATGGAGGGGAAGCTGTCACTACCCATCTGAGGATACCATGAGGACAAGGAGAAATATCTCCATTTGAGAGTTTGGAATGCAATATGCAAATTTGGTAGAATTTAGTATAAAATTATTACATGAAGTAAGAGTTAGGAATACTTTTAATAAGGATTAAAATAGAGATGTATTGAATTCACAGTCGTAAGAACAGCTGCTTCCTTTTTAATATACTTTTTATAGCAATACCTTTTAAACATTAAAACCATTATTTCCATGATAGGAAGTAACAGATACCATGAATCTTACATATATACTTAGCTTTTAAGGCTTGACATGCAAGACCAGAAGGGATACTGGAGTTACTTTCTAAGTGACTGATGAAAAGATACGGTAAAAATCTTCCTGGTCTCCCTGAAATTACACCAAGATCCAACAGATGGAAGCAAAGCAGCATTAGCTTGAAAATAGGTGTTGAAATTTAAAAGCCAAGTGTGGTGATGGTTTCTCACTGCAGTGAACCAAGGCCCTTGTGATTCTCTCACAAAGAAAGGAAAGTAGCAGGGTAAGCGGTCTTGTCAGTCAATATTTTCACAATGTGTAGTGGGAAAATTCTGAAGTTAACTGATTCTAAGAACAGAAACAAGCAGCCTCATCAAGGCCCCAGCTGCTGCTTTGTACGCACTATATCCAACAGTCATTCTGCATGACTTCAACTTGGCTTCTTGCTTCTAAATTACATATGTTTCAAAAGGACAGAGGTTCAAATGCTTTAACAGTTACAATAAATGATTAACTAGCAGCAAAACACAAGAACAAAACAACAGATGGCAAAAAAAATTATAGAAGAAAGAAAATATAATCGCACGTGAAACACTGATGCGAGAGATTTCTAAAACTTAATGTCTATTTATTATTTTAAGTATGCTCCTTAAAGGGATGACTCTGAGGTCATCTGTTCTTTTCCACTAGATACTACAAAATTACTGGATATAAGCCTCCTTTAGATGCACACAAAAATCGTTACCCATTAGGAGCTGCTTACTTTTGTTGAAAATCCTTGATCAGTTTCTTCGCCTTGTTGTACTTCTTTTCCAAGGCCTGATACTGGCTTTGAGTCTCTTTGAGGTGTTCGTTCACTGTGTGACATAACGTTTGAGCCTCAATCCAGTAGCTCTCCAACTTCATCATTCTTTCTTTATTCTCTTCTATATTCTGTTGAAGTTGGGTTTTTTCTAGTTCCCACCTCACTTTCTCATTTTCTGCAGCTTGCAGCTGGACAAAGCAAATGTCAGAGCAAGGATATTTCTGGATACTTTTGCAGCAAAAATCTCTCATACTTTTATAGCATATTTTAGAATAAATTCTATTATTACATATAGTCAGTCATGAAACACATTGAAATGAGAAGAGCAAGTATGATTTTCATTGTTATAGAGATTATAAAATGGAAGTGTGAAAAGTGAAATGGTTGTCCAAGGTCACACATCTGATAAATGATAAAACATGGATCTCTTTCCAACTCCCAGGATCTTTCCAGCATACCATACAGTGTATGAAATTCTCCGAGTAGTAAAAAATGTTTTAGAATTTGACTGATTCTATCCAATGAACTTCAACATGCTTTCTTTTAGAGTTGTTTTTAAAACATAATTATATGTAAAATGTTAACTAAAAAAGGAGTGGGGAGAGGCAAGCTGGGAAGGAGAGGGTCAGAGCACAGTATGGCCAATGATTAAGAGGTGGACCCCGGAGTCTACAGTTTAGATTTGAATTCCAGCTCTGCCAACACTAGCCTTTAAACCTTTGACAAGTAACCGAAGTCTTCTAAGACTAAATTGTTATATTTAAAAGAGAACTGTTGTATAACACATCAGCATGCTTGGAAAAGCTCCTTGGGGATAATAATCTGATAAAAGTTATTTTTACTTTGTCTTAATCCCTTTTGACAATATTATCACATATTTTATTTCAACTGACTCATGAAAATAGTCTGTAGCTCATTATTTTGCTGCCATTGTTCTGAGTTTCAATAAAATTATAAATGTATAAATGACATAAAATTTCCATAAAAGTACAAATGACAGTGTAAGTAAAAATATATATTATTCCTGAGTTAATTTAAATCTCTCCAATGGAAAAGAAAGGCAGCTTCCTCTGATTTCTGCTTTCAGGAAAGTTAAGGAACAGATAAGACCCTGGTCCAAATCCCTCATTTCTACGGAAATTCAAGACTGATCTCTTAGGTAAGGGATCAGAGGTCATTTATTCACAGTAGCCATCTAACCTTTACACTAGAGCTGCATCCAATTTCACATGCCTCCATTAAAGTTTAAAAGGATGCAGAATCATTATAAGCTATTAATACCAATTTTCAAAATCTAAAACATTCCAAAATCACACAGTATTCAGCAAATGGAAATATACATATGTTTTTATATGTATTTTAAACTAAATACATTGGCAAAACAGATTGCAAAGTAAGAAAGTAGTCAAAAACATTTCAAAATTATTATCAACATGGATTTAAAGAGTAACAGTAAAGCAAGTTAATCTGTGGATATTAGCATAGGTAATAGAAAGTTGGCACAGCCAATATCATTTTGAGAAAAATATAAAATACTCATTTATAGATTTTTCTAAATTAAATATCTAACACATAAGCCTTGTTCAAGCACTTGCATTCAGAGGGCAATCTTTTTCCCCGACAGTAACCAACAATTAAAAATCTTCTATTCTTCCATTCTATGCCAAGAAACAATAGCAATTTACAACAGGACTGGGTTTTTACCTGCACCTTTTATTAAGCAGTGTTTTGTGTTCAAGTTGTTTATTTACCAATCTCTACTAATTTAAAAATTATTATTCACAGAGCTTGGCTGAAACCATGAATGATGTATAGACATGTTTTGACTAAAGAGCTACAGAGTTATTAGCTGAAAATACCATTTACCCAAAATAGCCTTGCTAATTTATCTCTATTTAAAACACATGGAAAAAACAAAACAAGTGTATATAATGTGAACAGGGAAACAGACTATTAGTGGTGTGGCAGGAATTATGTCTCAAATTATTAGAAGGCCATAAAAAAATAAACATAACTGTGTTTTTAAAGTAATTCAAAAGATAGTTTAAAATCTTTTGAGACTACATATTTGATAAAACTAGACACAGTTCAAGAAACTGAAACTTACCTTATAATTTACCATTTAAAAATGCCCATTTGAATTTTGTATTATTTCATATATAAACTAAAAATACATACTCCTTTTATCAGACCTGTTTTTTCCCACAAATTTAAATGACGTGAACTAAACTTGTCTAAAGATTTCTGGTAGCATCTGGCCCCTAAAATAAATTACTCATATATTAATTAAATTTCATAATATTTAATTACTAGAAATCTGAATTTTTCTTTATGAAACCTAATGTGCTATGTTAATAAAAATAGATTATTTCTGGGAAGCTAAAAATAAATAAGATTATTAAATTTATTTAAAATAAGATAAAAGAGAAAGATACAGTATAACAGCTTGTGTTTAAGGATTAGTGGTCAAAATGTAGTTTGAATGCCTGAACTACTATAAACATTTACTTCTTGAGAAAGTTGAGAGGGAACGGGCCACATAGGTGCAAATCTGTAACTCTGTAGTTCTGAAATACTGCGCCGTTTTCAAGGAGGGTGCTGACCCCGTAAGCGTGGGCACTGTTAGGTTTTCCACTAACAGTGGGAACGAATCTCTCACGTGTGTGCTTTTAAATGTGCAGAAACAAAGCGTTTAGTGCTTGGGTTGAATTTATTCATAGCATCTGAAGTTTAGAAAGTACAATTCAAACACCATGTATTGGTGCTTACCTTGGTCTTCAATTTTTGAATCTCTGCTTCTGTAACTGCATGTTTGATTTGCAACTGAAAATGGAAAAGAAAGGAAAAAAATCTGAACTAAGCGTATCTATATTTTTCTACATTTTTAAAGCCTCAGCAGCTGGCAGAATACCTTATTACATAGCTGAAGGGCTAGAAAAGTGCCACAGTGCAGCAGGTTGTAAATTAAAATGTCTAGTGTGTAAAATGACTCTCTAGGTGCGAGCTAATTAAACACAGGGTTTATGGTCCACACTCCCTAACATCAGATTAGGTTATGAATTTAATTGCTCAGGGACCAAAGAGAAGGAAACACATTTTCCTTCCCTCCTTGCAGTCTTTCTTTGTGATCTGACTGTCAAAGAAATTGTTGCCCTGCCGTCTTGAGGACTGAACAGCTAGGGCAGGCAGACGGCCAGCGGGAAGCGTCGATTCCAAACCTGGAAGGAGGGCGGCGCTCTGGTTCCGTGAGTCGCACGCATTTTAGCTTAGCAGCCCTGCTACAGCTCGGGCTGCGGCTGCGGGGCTGGAGAAGGGGACGGTGCAGGTCCGCGACAAGATGTGGCATTTCTTTCTTACATTGCAGGTAAAAGTACAGATCCAGATGTCTGTCCTTAAGTCATTTACTCCTACTGAGGGCCTGGACCCTCCAAAGCTTCAGCCACGGTTGATTCTCTCTAGAGCCACCATTTAGATTTGTTTTGCTTCTCCCTTCCCCCACTCTGCTTTCTTTGTAAAGGAAGAAAAACGAAGGAAGCGATCGTTCTTTACGGAATTTAAAAAAAAAAAAAACACACACCAAAATTTATGGAAAACAATTTTTAGGTTGGAAATCACTTTTGTAAAACCCTTGGAATCAGATGTTTTTGGAATTCAGAGTTCTTCCAATTTCAGAAACTTAGTAAGATGCATTTTCCATAAATATGCTGACTGCCCACAGCAGGGTCTGTGGAGGCGCTCTATAATCAAATACGTGAATATCTTTGCCACCAAACATGTGAATATTGTCACTAAGTGAGGTACATAAAGACTGGAAATAGCAGCCTGTCAATTTTGGTCAGATTTACTACCGTCTGCCACAAAATTATTTTAAAATAATCTTTTCAGGGCATTTTGAATTTACGATTGTACAAAGGGACTGTAATCTTCCCATATTATTGTAATCAAATAAGTCTAAGGTTTTCTTATCAGAAAGATGGCTAATGAAAAGACAGAAATGTGAACCTTTGAGATCACACCACTTCATAAACCTCAGCTCTCTCTCTGGTTTGTAATCTTAATTTCCTTGGTTTTTGCCTGACCACCAGGGGCATGTGGGAAGGATGAAGAAGGAAAGAAGTCAGGATCCAGGGTTAGATGCTGATGAATAAGGGCCCAGAAACCGAGTCCCGAGTTCCTTATGAAACGTCCCCTCCGTGATGCTCTCACGTCTCACTTGCGGGTGAAGGCTCTGTGGGCTACAAGGCTACATCTCTGCTCCTGCGGGCTGATCCTGACACTTCCACGTCTGGTTCTGCCCTGCTCACTCATTTCACGCTCCTGCTTTGGGGTGTGGTCGCTCTTGCAGTTTTGCCTCTGTGGCTGTGGCTGCGTTCACCCTCACGGTTCCCAGGGGCTGCTGCGCTCCACCGTCTCGAGAGGGGGAAGTACTCTTAGTCAGCCAAGACTAAGGAAGAACGATTTGAAGGGCTAACATATGATTACCCCAACGCTGCTTCTTAGCTAGAAGTCCTAAGTGCTGTAAAACGTTGCACCTGAAATAAACCCAGCTCCTCTCGTGCTAGCTGAAGAGCAGCAAGGAACCAAGAGTAGACTCATGATGAGCGCGGCAGCTATAGGAAGCGCTGGGCTTTATTTTCTCAGCGGGTAACCCCCTGCAGGGTAACCAATCATGCTGCAGTACAACGTGTCAGGACTTCGGATTTTCCTTGTTCAAATCACCATCTTCTGTAGCAAGCTACAGCTCTGGGCCCGTTTCCTATATGAAAAATGAGAGGGCTGGATGGGAAGAACACCACAGCCTCTGCAAGTACTACTGGTGTGACCTTTGATGAAATGAAGACCCTGGAGATGACTGTCATGGTTGCAGAGTGTAGCAACTCTTACCCCACGCCAGCATTTTCATTCCTGGGAATGCATACGCTGGATTAATCAAGTGACGTGTGGGACAGACCAAGGGGAAACTGTGAAGCGGCCAAGCTGATTTTCAGTTATCCTACCCTCCCACCTCACCGAAACAGATGACAGAAGGGAAGTGAACTCGCAAAGCAGTGAGGTGAGAATGCTGATGAAAGCTTAGAGTGTGACTCTGTACGGCCCAGTCCTTTAGCTAGAGGGAAGCAGGATGAAGTCTGTAAATTCAGACATTATTCAGAAGATGGACAAAAGTTTCAGTGCAAGGCTTTCCTAATACTCATACAGCCTAAAATGACAGATAGGTAATTACTATGTAATTATTTTAATCCTGCATGCACCTTAACAGAATGTCTAGAAATCCACCACTATTAAAAGGAAAAGCATTAAAAATAAACTAACTGAACTTTTCATTGTATATAGGAAGAAACTGTTTTATAGTAGCTTAAGTTACAGAGCTAATAAGTATCAAAGCCAGGTTTCATAAATTCCAGTCCACAGTCCTGTCCTCTAGCCCAAAATTTCTTACATTTGTAGCATCCTTTACCTTTTGTTATCTCCTCCTTCCTCACTGCGAATGGATCTGTGAGGGAGGTAGGACAGGCACTGTTAACCTCACTGTTCAGACAGGGAAAGAGGCTCAGATAAGTTACACGGACTCTTCAAGTTCCCAGCAGAAGCAGGTGGTGGAGAGGAAATTATCCCAGGCCTGATGGCACCTACTCCATCCCTCCCTTCTGCACCTCCTCTGAACCAGCTTTGGGACACACTTTTCATTTGAGCGTCACAGAAACCCTGAGGTAGTGGTGAAGAGATTATCCCAGGTCTGATCCCACCTACTCCATCCCTCCCTTCTGCACCTCCTCTGAACCAGCTTTGGGACACACTTTTCATTTGAGCGTCACAGAAACCCTGAGGTAGTGGTGAAGAGATTATCCCAGGTCTGATCCCACCTACTCCATCCCTCCCTTCTGCACCTCCTCTGAACCAGCTTTGGGACACACTTTTCATTTGAGCGTCACAGAAACCCTGAGGTAGTGGTGAAGAGATTATCCCAGGTCTGATCCCACCTACTCCATCCCTCCCTTCTGCACCTCCTCTGAACCAGCTTTGGGACACACTTTTCATCTGATCATCATGGAAACACTGAGGCAGGTGTCATCACTGTCACCTCTCAGGGAGGAAAATAAGACTCCACCTGGAAACCATGGGTCACTTCTGGGGTCCGAATATTCTCATACTACATACAACATGGCGTTCAATCATTTGCTTTTAGTCACTGAACTTAGAAATTTCTCAGGCATTATTCAACCTGCATTTACTGAACGAGACTATGTGCCAGACACAGCTAGTCACTGAGGATACATGAATGCTACACAGAATCTACCTTTGAAACACTTACTTCAAATAGGTTAATAAATACCACCTCCTGAGAGAAGTTTCCAGATGCATGAGAGAAACTCAGGAACTTCAGATGACCTGCGGCTTTGGCCTATGTGTCACGTCTCTAAATTTGGACCCTCACCTCCCAAGCAAAGTGGGCAGGGTGGGGGGCTGGGAGACCTCTGTTTCATGAGGAAGAAGAAACTGCTTTTCAACGAGGTACAGTGGCTTGACAAAAGCAGCACAGTAAATACAAAATTGAATTTTCTTATTCCAAAGCAGTTCCTCCGTGTTTAATAGCCTTTCCAAAGTACAGGCATAAGGGTTCACAGACAACAGCTGACTGCAGGGAGCAGGGTCTACATAACTGCTTAATAGACAATAACTTTCGGAACTTTTGGGCTTCAGAGAATATAGGTTTGGAGAAACGACTCGGGAAGAGAGGATATAAAGAAAAAGAAAAGGTTTAGGACTGCAGGTCAGTGTCTATAAGGCCAACCTCTTTCATCTTTTCTGTCCTCTTGAACATGAATGCCATCGATATCCACCCCAGGATTACAGTACAAATAAACACACGCACTCTTACAGAGAACAGTAGCTCTCATGTAACATTCTGCAGGTCTACCTGCTGTGTTTATTTTCTGTTTACATCTTTCGAAGAGATGAATACAGAACATGTACTCATATCACTGAATCAATATATCCAAATATAACTGCACAGGAAGCAGAAACGTTTTTATGCATAAACATTATAAGACTGAACTTCTGCATTCTTTACTTATCTTGTACAGGCACATAAATCATTTTTTCTTTAAAAAGGAAATATGTTATCTTTGCAGGAAATATTTTAAGAGCTCTCTAATACTGGAGATTTTACATCCTCTGCTCTTATTTTGGTGGTGGTGGTGTGTGTGCTCAGTCTGACTCTTTGTGACCCCATGGACCGTAGCCCTCCAGGCTCCTCTCTCCATGGGATTCTTAGGCAAGAATACTGGAGTGGGTTGCCATTTCTACTCCAGGGCATCCTCCTGACCTACGTCTCCCAACCCATGTCTCCCAAGTCTCCTGCATTAGCAGGCTGACTCTTTACAACTGAACCACCTGGGAAGCGTGTTCTTACAAGGGCAAAATAATAACTGATATTTGCATACAACTTTATGAAGTGGTTTTAGCATCGGAATCAGAAATTTTACAATTATATCTGTGATCATGTGACTGCAGTCTGTCTTACCCATGACAACATGAGTTCTACAAAAGAAGAAATCAGGGCTGCTCTTGCCTGTACTTTGGTGCCGTTAAAATTAAGCTATGCTGTATTTCTTTACAATTTCTGCTCAAAGGTTTATAAATGGTACCTATCTTTACATTAACCAAAGTGTTCTTCTCAGGGAATAGACTATGCAAAACTAGCTGAAATCAGCTGACTGAATGCTGTCATAACCTAATTTGAATGGCAACACTAACTGCAGTATATGCAGCATACAGTGACATACTCTACCAAGTCACTCTCTAAGGAAGTGCTCATAAAC